ATCATTGGCGGCCTTCATTTCAAGCCTTTATGTGTTCGTAAGGAAAGAAAGAGTTGTAACAAGTGTACAAGTACGCAAGTGTGTTGTAAATGTGATACGATTACAGTTGAGGCTATTACTACAGATTGAAAGAATGCGTTAAGAAAATTTCCAAAACCTAACGCAAATCTGATTGAAACCTAAAATCGAACTAAGAAATTTCAAAAGCATTTTTATGTCTTTTATTATAACATATTTAAAGGTTTTTGTAATCGAAGAAGTGGGCTTTTCTCGATAGAATTATCAGATTATTTACGGAAACAATTAATTACAAAATAAATTTAAACACGAAAACTTTGAAAGAATTAACTAAAATAGTCATACACATTTTGAATATTTTTGAGCGACATGATAATATATTAAAGGAAGTTTTCGTAATAATGAATGGTTTGCATATTAAGGGATCTATAAAAGGAGGTAGTTATATTTCAAATGGTCTATATTTTTCCTGTAAATCATTCACGGAAAATCTGCCGGAAATAACAAGTCTTTCGGACATTTCGAAAAAATTGTACTTAATATAACCTAAGACTGGAATTTGCGATCTTTGGAGTGTTAAATACCTTGTGTTTTAACGAGAAATTACAGGAAATCAAACATATTTTAATCGCTTGGAATATATTTTTACTTTTCTCGATTTATTCCCTTGTATTATTAAACGTTCTATTAATGTGTTAAATCTTTTACACTTTACAGTTTCACTAATTTTTCTAAATTTAATTTTAAATATTTCCTTAAAATATATAAATAATTATATTTTTGCTTAAAATTTCATCGGTAATAATGAACTGATAAATACCATTAGCTAACGATATATCATGTCTTATGCTAACACGCATCATGTCTTATCATTGGGCGTAAATTACACGCACAATTACGTCCATGTAAGTAAAAACCTACGGAATTAAAAGAAAAAGACGTATTAAAAGTTGTAAATGTAAACATTCGAATAATTACACGAACGACTGTGTAACCCGACCTGATCCGATCCAACCGAGCACTGAGCAACCATGATTTCAGGGTCTCGCATACTTTGAGTTTCTATATTTATACTTCTTCCGATAAATTAATTAATTAATTAATTAATTGATTATGTTTGTAGTGGTACAAGAATCAGTTTACGAATCTGCTCTATATAAATTTGCAATCAATATAAATGTATTAAAATAAAATATAAGAAAGTATTTTCTCAATGCGAATTCTTATACGAATCATAGTGTTCGTTCATTTTATACATGCGTACAAAATGAACACCTTTTTTAATTAACATGAAATTTTGGAATGCAACATGGATAATTCTTAATTACTCCCTCGAATCGTTATTTCCCATTGAGATTATAATCTGACAAAGAAACATGCTAAATCAGTGCACACAAATTATAATACAGCAAAATTTATGGCGAAAATAGTTCTCGGAAAAATATTTAGCCCGTGTGCACCTTTGCTTGTTTCACGGCTAAAAACAATCCTCGCTGTTCAGGGTTAAAACTATACTTTCAGAGTATCTCTGGCATTAAAAACCAGCTTACAGAAATTTCTCTTTAAATTGTACACAAGATTAACAAAAATGTTGGTTTTGGTTAAGTTTGAATGTAGCCCGAATTTCTGTTTTCCAATTGTAAGTAATTTTTCTTATTAAATTTTTATCGATTTTCGAATTTATGAACTGTTATTATTCACATTCAGCATCTATTCTCTGTTACGTATATACTGTTTCTGGTCCTTTCATAGCAACGGCACTACGTATATAGTATCAATCTCAGTGAACCACAAAAAGTATAGGATGAGTTGCACATTTGAAAAAAAATTATATCGAGAACTTGATTAGAAATTGTAAAAAATCATAGAAGGAGTTGAATAGTTTATGAAAGTCTAATTTTTTACAACTTGTTTTCTTATGGTTTAATAATTATTGGTTATATTATTAATTATGGTTTAATAATTATTTGGCTATATTCTGATTAACACTTAGCTACAAAACTTACTAAAAAGAAATTTAAATTTGTATAGGTATAACTGATTTCTTGATTTATAAGCGTACAGTGCAAGCGCACAAAAGAATATTTTTCCTGTATCCTATAGATTCTCTCCGAAATATTTGGAATAATATATGTAGTTCAGTAATAATAACGATCATCACCGATAAAGGAAATATTTGTAAAATATTTTCGCGAGACCTATTTTCGAGATGTATTTCATGGTAATCGGCGTGTAACATACAGATACGTTCACTTGTTAGATTCTAATCTGTTGATGTAATGCATGGCAAATATGAACATAATAAATATATTATAGTAAACTTTGCGGAACTGTTAAAATGTTTACAGTGATGTTTACATTTACTTTCAGTTGCTTGAGTTATAATCATTATTGTGTTCAAAGCGTAAAAGATATTTTTTTGATTACAAGTGATATTACTTTTCAAATATTATGCGTCTAATTTGCATAGTCAGAAGTTACAATTTATTCTTCTGTTCTATAAGGTCGAGGTCGATACGTTTGCGAAGAATGTGGCATACGGTGCAAAAAACCATCCATGTTGAAGAAACATATCAGAACACACACGGATGTAAGACCGTACACTTGCAAGCATTGCGCGTTTAGGTAAGTCGCGGCACACGCATATTATTTACATACATATTACTATTGTTTACGAGCTTAATTGAAATTTAAGAAAGGAACAGGCGTATAGGTGTACAATTAATTATAATTTTTGGTGTTACATTTACACTTCTATCATTAAAATTAATACTATTTTTATCACGATAATATCTAATACTCGTGTTTCTTTTGTATTTTACTTTATACCTTTTTTTAAATCATAGATACAAGCTAATTATATAAATATTTATGAATATTGAATGTAAATATATGTATACATTTACGATTGATAGAAAATGCGATCGATATTATTTATTCATCGAGCCGCTGCTGCGCCGTTGCTTACTATGTACCTACATTGACTAATCAATATTCCTGAACCTTTTTTTTCAAGGGCAAAGGGAATTTTGCGGCAGCTTCCTTACCTCAATTTCCATCAAACCAAAAGTGTAGAATCACGTTGTAACAGTAAAGAACAAACATTTCGTTCCATCCTGCACTTAAATTATATGCAGCGACCATGGAAACATAATTCTACAACTTGGATTTTTTCACGATTGATAAGGAAGATTAGTAGGGAAGCTACCAGAAAATATACCTAGGTTACTTGACCTTGAAAAAACAGTCAAAATTGTGTATCGTTTCATCTTATTCCATTCGGAGATAAGTAGATATTCTTAATGGAACCATGAGTTGGAAATGATTCATGCGCTTGCAAGATGCTCTTAAAGTTCGTACGTCCTTGCCTGGTGGTACACGATGGGTCAGCGGACTTAACACCATCGAACTTTTGCTTTAGGAAAATGTGAATGACATTGTTTATCAGTCGAGTTGTCTATTGAGATTTCTGAGCAAATTGCGTAACATTTTTTCATTTTGCGCCGTGGTCCATCGCGGACGATACTCTCACCGTCCGAAACACGCTTACTCATCACTATCTGTAAGCATAAGAAGAAACTGGATATCCCGTTCCTTTACTCAAAGAAATTTCAACAGCAATTTGTAAACAGACGAATGATTTCCAACCCGTAGTTGCATTCAAACTGCTTACCTCCGTGACGAATACAATACGATACAGCGATAACAAATTTTAATCTCTTTCTTTCAAGCTCAAGCAAGTGAATTTCGCGAACACTTTCTTGCATACTTTTTCATCAAATCAAAGGTGTAGAATCACGCTATGATGATCGTGATATGACCTTTAAAATTATTCTGAGTTATTAGTTGAGTTATTAATTAGCCTATGTATACATTTTTATGCAAAACGAATGCAAAACATTGTCTGCTTTGCCCAACAATGGAAATTAAACCAAGTTTGCTTGAAAATGTATTTGAGGTGATCAAAAAGAATCTGATAGCCCCCCTCCCTCAAATCAAAACGTTTCGACAAAAATGTTAAGGAAGAAGAAAGAGTGTATTAGAGCTGTTTAAATATTTATGACTAAGTGAATTTTACAAATTTAAATAAATTCTTTCGTGTATACATTGTAGAACATGCATACTTTAAAATACTGAATAATTCATTGTCGGTAATAATGGACATAAACGTAGCGAATAAAGAGATCTTCCAGGGAACTAACGAACTATTTTCCCGTGTGAAATTAAGGAGAACCACATATAGGGTGTCCCATTTTAATCTTCACACCAAATATCTGTAAAGACACCAAAGATACGAAAAATATTTTGTATAGAAATTCGATGGTAATTCAAACTTATGTTTCTTTGCTACTAGTTATTATAGTTAATGTCGAGCTATTTCCAAAATACAACCTATATGTATAGTATTTTTACATAAGACGTTTCCGACATATTAAGTTGATAAATGTTGAAATTTTCTGCTGTTTACGTTTTATAATGTTGCTGCGGAGAGATTTTGACATTGTTCACCAATCCCTTGTTTCATTCCTTTGAATGTTAATGACTCTGCCTGGTAAGGTATTTCGCGGTGTACGTTTTAATTGGTCTTAAAATAACTCGCGAGGTCTGATCTTACGCTTTCGAAAATTTCCGAATTCAAAGAATGAATAATAAGATATTTGCGATGTAGCGGTGTAAACTGTATTTATTGCGAATGATCACTGATTGACTTGAGTTGTCTTGAGAGAAAATTCTCTTAACTCAACTCGGACAAATCGGAGAAGTGAATCCCCGATTGGGGCTTAGAATTTTTTGGCGGGGATGGTGCATTCGGTAAATGTAGAAACGACTTTACTGCAGGTTTTCTTTGACAAGTCAAAATTTGCTATGAAGGCAGTCGATAGGCCTGTTTACGGGGGTCTTGACCTGAACGCAGATCAAAGCGTCGTAAAAATATAGAAAATATAGAAAAACTGCTTTTTAAATAGACCCGCTTAAAAGTTCTCAGCGTCGACCTTTGCAAGCTTTTTTGATTGAATTTTATTTGAAGACAGATAAATGACAGCATCGTCTGTTCTCCATGATAATATACAACTTCTGTCTGAAACATGTTTCAGTATGTGTTGTGTCTTTCGAGATATTTGCTGTGGACAATTGAAATGATACACTCGGTGCTCAATCATGTTCAATCTAAAAGGTTTACAGTTTGTGGCCTAATGTATCGCCTTATTTGTGTATCTGTTCGTTTTTTAAATCGTTGGCACAAAAATATTTCAAATTCACCAACGATTTCTGAGGGACAGTATAAGCTAGGTAGCTATTTGTAGCTATTTGTAATTTTTTAAATCGAAATCATTACTTGATAAAATAACACAAGAACAACGATAAAAGCAGCTGGAATAATAATGGAAAGGCGATAATTAATATTGAATGAACTTTTGGAACAACGAAGACTTGGTGTTACACATTGTCAATTTGTTTTGTGCAGTTTCAAAACCAAAGGCAACCTCACCAAACACATGAAATCAAAAGCACATTACAAAAAGTGCGTGGAATTGGGCGTCGTTCCTGTACCCACAACCGTCTGCGACGATAACATCGATAAAGAAGCTATCGCTCGTCTAGCGGCAGGTGGAAACACCGAAGAATCCTCGGAGGAAGAGGAAGAAACCGATGGAGAAGAGAGCGAAGAGTCTGGAAGCGAAGAGCAAGAGGCGGCGCAGAGTTTGCTGAGCCTTTCGCAACGAAACGCGAACCGGCTCCCGGGGCTTCTGCCATCCGGCAGGCCAACAACTTATCCGTATACTTTAACCTTCCCAACCACGTCTATACCCACGAACGTATCTATCACGGTAAGCAATGCCCCTCTCAGCGGACAAGGTGTCAGCACGCAAGGTGCCACCGTTGTTAGGAACGAATTGCCTTATCGATACTATTTCCCGTCGAGTCGCACCGCTTCGGAGGAATCCCGCACAACCGTGATTCAGTCGTCGAAGAAGGAGAACTCCGACGTGGAAGTGGAAGAGGTCGACTCGGACTCGCGAAATAGTTTGTCTCAGCCGATGGATCTTACAACGAAACCGGCCGTGCAGCCGTTACCGTCGCCTGTTCCTCGGAGGGCTAGACCAGCGGACATTTTGACACCAGTCTCGGAGCCCATCTTGTTGCAGACGATTGTTCAAACCATGGAGAGACTGCCGATACAGGGAAGAGAATGGAAACCAGACGCCGAGGGTCACATGTTACAAGCATATCTGACGGAGCGACACGTTATGGACAGTAAAATCAAGCAACAATACCGAGTTGGAAACACAAAAGTCGAGAAAAACTCCAAGGAAAGAGACTTCTACGTGAGACAGCTTTCACCGAAGTCAAGGAACATCGAGCAGAACAACGTCCTTACCGTGACTTACACCGACCCTAGTAAAATGCAACAAACCCTGATGGATTCCAGAAACAAGCACGTATTGAAGCACACCGCGGATGAAATTAAAATGGAGATCAGAGAGAAGATCTATCAGAACAACGTGACGGTCGAACGGCGACCTTACGACTTGGAATCGGTCCATAGGGACAAGGAACAAGGAAGTCGAGCAATCACCGATAGAGATAATATCGAGCATGATTTGATTAATTCCGTTAGCTCGAAACCAAGCATAGAGTACGGTGTGCCTATGGTTAACAATTGCTCGGAAAGATCGAGTTACTCGGTGGAGTCCTCTAACGGAAGCACTCCGCAAAACGTGGATCGTCATTCGCCAAAGCCTTTCAGCGTCGACGGTAACAGTCGGCTGTTACCTATTCCGCACATGAACAACGACATCGACAGAGGTTCGGTATTCAATTCGATGAAAACGATGAACGAGTTGGAACGAGCGCAGGAATGTCACGCGGTCAATCAAGAAATCAGACCAACCAGCCACGAACTTCGGAACGCGTCGACGGACCTCTGCATTCAGAGCCAGAGTCCACGGAATTTGGACATGAGACCGCCCAGCAGAGAAATACGACTACCGATCCAGGACTACAGGGGTCAGGTGCAGGAATTACGACCTCCCACTCAAGACTACAAGCTGTGCAGGCAAGAACTGAGATCTCCTAGTCGAGAATTCAAATCGTTGACTCACGACACACGATTGAATCAAGAAATGACCTCCTTGAACTCCATGGAAACGCGACAAGCCAATGTAGATAATAGACCTCCGAGCAGAGATATGATTTTATTATCGGACTACAGACACGCTCAGACTCAGGAGTCCAGGGTTAATTTTGAAATAATGCCGTTAGCGATGCATGAAGCCTCCAAAATGCAAGAAGCCTCGAGACCGCAGAACATGGACATGAGAAACACGCCTATGGATCGCATTGAGATGAAACATACGGAAATGAAGCAGAGCATAGCGGAAAGCATTAAGCACACTGTCGCTAGGAAAATGGTAGTCGGAGGACCAGGATTTAGATCGCCTTCGCCTACCGGGGGAAGTGCCAAACCACAAGCCGAGTTCTTACAACCTTCTAGTGGGCCTGCACCAAATTACGTCAGGTGAGTTATATTCTTCGTGTAACAGTTCATAAATAATTCACCTTCTTATTATAGCATTATTATTCTACTAAATCTATTCTATTGCCTCAACAATTGATTACATTGCAATAGATAATGCGAAATAGATGGAAAAGTGCTTTCAAATTAGAGATAAGAAAACTAAATAGCTTAAATAAACACTTGTAATTCAAGGTACAATTCAGCAAGAATTTAATGCTTTTATGGGACTAAATTTAGTATTCGCATTTGAAAGAAATCACCCATTAAAATATCCTCGGCTATTGTCAACGTTATTACGAAAACGATTTGATTCGGCAGATCATTTTTACAGTCTCTATGTTTCAAGCAAAAAGAGTATGCCTGATCTGTATGATGAAACTCTTCCTTGCGAAACCTCTTCTATCGTCGAAAGCAGAGCAAATCGTTCGATGTGAATATTTCTTAAGTTGGAACCACGAAGGTACACGAGTATTTAATATATGGGTCATTTCACGCCTAATCGCGTGTTTAGGATTTGATGCCTCGGATCCCATTTAAATTCATAGACGTCATAGTCCAATTATGAAAATATTCAATCATAAGCGTTTAAATCGTCATTTTACTGGTTTCACCGATTTTTAACCTGCATTTTTACTTTGACTTTCGTCTGTCTGAAATATAATTAATTGTACCGTCTAAGCATTCTCTTGTTTCGTTCAGAAAATTATATTAGTAATAGAAAATTATTACATATATATATATATATATATATTCATTCCTATCCTTGGTTTAAGTCACGGTTAAATTAAACATTTTTCAAAATTCACTTCAAGTATAGAGGCTATGCCTGTACAGGGTGGAACGGAATGTTCGGATTATGCTGTTATAGCGTGATTCTACATCCTCCGTTTGATGAATATTAAGGTAAAGAAGCTGCCGCGAAATTCCCTTTTACCCTTGAGGAAAAGGGTTAAAATTTTCTATTGCAACATCATAGTCTACTCATCGCGAGGACAAATAGTCCCAAAGTTACCATGGGTAAAAAATTAAGAGTTTTCCCATAAATCGCCGTTGAATTTCGCGTCGCAGAGTAAAGGAACGCGATATCGATTGTCCTTTTCTGGTGCACTCCGTCCTTTGGAAAAATACGATCGATATTGTGTACCGATTGAGAGCCGCCGCGATGTCGTTACCCAGCTGAGAACGATCTTCCTACTACATAGCTACCTTACCTAATCGATATTCGGCTACCTGAACAGGACAATCGACATCGTGTTCTTTTACTCTCCCACGCGAAATTCAACATCGATTTACCAGAAAACTATTTATTTATTTCACCCATGGCTCCTTTGAGACTATTTGCTCCCGCGATGAGTAGGATACGATGCTGCAATACAACATTTCAACCCTTCTTTTCAAGGGCAAAGAGAATTTTACTTAGGGGCAGCTTCTTTACTTCAATATTCATCAAACGGAAGGTGTAGAAACACGCTGTAGCAGCAAAATTCAAACATTCCGTTCCACCCTGTGCATCGCGCCGTTTGTTGATTTTATATCGAAACAATTGCATTTACCACTCGCTTGCTTCGATTAGATATTTGTTACACCTCTTGCAGAATAGATACTATACCGCCTCCAGGTATTCGACTCATTTTTGTTAATACCCTGTACTTAATAATATTATTTAATAATAATATTTAGTTATATAAATAAAGTGCTTTGACGTAGCTTAAAAATTTATGTAAAGTTTCGAAACAGACATGCAGTTTAGACATCAACATGCAGTATTTTTCTTCATATAATCGTATCACTAGTTTCTCGCAAGGTTATAAAGGGACAATACATACGATACTGTTACTGTTACTGTTTCAGTAACTCGCTTTTTGTTCTGCCAGTGTAAATGAAAAGCCTTATTTCGCTAAAAACGTGTCACGAGTGGACAATTTACGCCTATTAACAAATCCAATATAACTTGGATTTTTCAGTTTTTTCTTTGTAAATTTACTTTCGGGTTTTCCACGGTATTCAACTCCAGTCTAGATCATGGTACTTCATCTGTTCAATTCTCCCTAATTTGTCAATAATAATAAGTATCTATATATATACATATTTGGACAGGCCATTAAAGTACTGTTCTACAATTTTATCTAAAAAAGATTCGTATGTATAACTGTTCGTATACTTACAGTATCGCTTAATTGTTTAATACGTTCTGTGGTATCGAAAACTTTGATTATATTTTCCTTAGAGAGTCTATTGATTTTTCAATAAAATATTAAGTTACATTTATTATATTTTTGCTGGTTTGTAACGTATACCGCTATCCGCGGCCATATGCCTGACAAAAATATTTTTTTACGAAAATTGACATATACCAAAAATGATACACGCTTACATTCTCTTATCTGTAGTAAAATAAACAATATTAATTCCTATTATACACTGCCCGAGTAAAACTTTCGAAAATAAAATGAAATTTCAAAAATATAAGTATTTCGAACCGTTACATAGATGTTCTGACTGAAACATTTAAAAAGTCTGAAAAAATATCCATACTTCTTACGAATGTATCAGTTCGTATTTATACCGGTTTTGATTTTTCAGAACTGATATTATACAGAATCTATCTGTTGTACATAGTAATTGGGACAGACCATGAATCTGTTCCTGGTGAAGTTACAGAAAAACATAAAGAAAAACTTTATACTATTTATAAGACTCTGTCATTCTGCAATGCCAGCCCTTTCCCATAAATGCATTGTCACAATTGCAAAGCGCAATTACACTTTTCTTTTAAATGAAAATCTATGTTCCTTTTTATATAAATCGTTTATTTCCGTCATTTTACACAGAACATATTATTGATAGCTCAATCTTTTTCGGGATGTTTTATTTGAAAAATTCGTTGGATACACGCTGTTAGTAAATAAGATGTCAGAGTAATAATTCCAATGCAAATACAACAACCTATTCGCATAGCACTTAATGTTCAAAGTAAAGTTCCTCGAGAAATATTGAGTTTTCAACGTTAGTATCTTAAACGTTTTTTATGTAACATGACATAAAGAAATAATAAATAAATAAAGTTTTATTTTTAAAAAATGCATCTGAGCTTTGCAACTGCACCAACGACAATGACCATTTATGACAAAAACCGGTATTATAGTATGATAGAACACGCTAAATAGCACAGTTTTCCTTTACGATTTTTTTCTAACTGCACCAGGAGCAAAACTATAGCCTGTTCCAGTCACTATATACACCGTATGTAGGTTTTCTATCGGTTTCATAACTATTATTTTTCTATTCTACATCGTAATGACCGGTACAGAACCGAAAACAACAATTGCAGGACATAGAACAAACACAGTAGAGAAAAATAACAACCATTTAGTGTCTTCTTTGTCAATTTCTTGTACTGTGGAAGGTGTATAAATCCACCAAAAATATAGTAAACATTACATAAATTACTTTCAAAACGTATAGTGGAAGTTTTGCAGAATAAACAAGAATTGATAAGACAAATATTCAGTATCTACTTACGTATTTGTAATAATTTTCAGTGTTACATGCTATCCTTCTATAGAATGAAAGTGTACCAACTTTAATTGTCTTTTTTCATACTTAAATGATACTTAATGATTATATATTATAAATTTATAATTTTATTATAAAAGGATTCTTTAAAGGTCAGAAATAGATAAATCTATTAGAGATTATAAATATGTTAAATTTATGGAGTCTGTTAACCATTTTTATTTAAAGGTGAATAGTGGTAAGCAAATGAAAATAAAGTTTTCATACATAATATGTGATGAAGGTGGCGATGCCATTTTATGATGGTTGATGAACTCATGATTATAGAGAGAGTACTGCATCGTAACTTAAATTTGAATCTCGCTTTTCCACACGAACAGCTTCGACAAAGTATTAATACGGTTCTTATGTATTATCTTTTTTTGTTGAATGTCAAAATAATTTTCATTAAAAGAACTGAGTCTACCGAATGTAGTTACAGTGTCACTGAGGATGGAAGAAGCGTCTGCGGCATTTGTAACAAGGTGTTCAGCAAACCTAGTCAGTTACGGTTGCATATCAACATTCATTATTTCGAGAGACCATTTAGATGTGAAAGTTGCGCGGTTTCTTTCCGAACCAAAGGTCACTTGACAAAACATGAAAGATCTGTTTCTCACCATAATAAGGTAATCTACAAATATAATTTTACTTGAAATTATTATATTAACGTATGCTTTCAATACTTTCCAACTCTATTAAGATAGTACTGTTAAAGATAGAAACGAGAACGTTTTCAGTTTTCAGATATTTTCAGAAAATTAAAACAAGTAAAACAAGTACATTCAGATAAGGAAGTCAAAATGCCTTCGAATAAAATTCAAGACTTATTCAATACTTCATAAAACAAAATATTCTGTACCAAGTTCCTTGACCTTATAAAATTAACTAATTAGAGATAATTACTTATTTTCGGATTTTTCAATTGAAAAGCACGAATTTTTTAACATCTTAAAATTATCACAATTATATTTCAATGTTTGCAGTAACGATATATTATCATAAACAATTGCATCGAATTTGTTCAAATTTTTGTATAAGGTGAGATTAAGGCTGGACATTTTTTACCTTTTTTACATGAAAATACACTTTAAGGCTTACACTTTAAATTCTTATATTTTTTAATAAGTAGAGGTATAACATAATCTCAAGTATTTATATAGCGAACAAAATAATATAAAAATTTAAAAAGTTGTAACTCTCGCAATTAAAGGTGCAAATAAGTACCTTATGTATTATATTCGAAATTATTAAGTTCATTTCAAAATATGTTGTAAGGATAATAATTCAGCATCTGACGAAGAAATTACTATAAATTCTTTTAACACAAATCCAAGCCGTACTCTCGACTTACTGTTTTTTCTTAGAGTAATTGCATGTTTTAATTAAAAGATAAATTTATTTTTTAGAAGTACTTCGATCTAAAATGTATGTAAACGAAAAAATAAAAAGTCATAGCTGTCAAAGGGGAAAGTAATTATTTTTATCGAGCCTTTAACTTGGAACACTTCAAAAAGAGCAGACACGAGTAATCTGGATAACGGGTCATTGGTTATATTCCTCTGTCAGTATCGCTCTGTCAAAGAAAAGACGGTTTAAGCTTGGTAATAAATATTTATCCTTTTTGAACTATCCAATAATATAATACCAATGAAAGTACATTTTTGACTTCCCTATCCGGCTAATTACACATGTTAAGTAATTTTCATTAAACATTTTACAATGAATGATAGCTTACCAGCACGTCTAAGTATTATAAATTAATAAGCAGAAAAAGACCATAGAAATGCTTCTAATCTTAAGTACGTTCTTTCCAAGGCTTAATTTGTATGTATAGTGAATCCAAAAAATACTGGCTGGTACATGTAATTATTTCGTGATAATTTTATTCGTTATATTGAACATAATATACTGGTTTAGTAATGTTAATAACTGACCGTTTGAAAATAAATGTAAAGGAAGAAATTGAATATCCTGATTAATTATAAGACAATTAATTATACAGAAAAAGAATGTTACGGTTCTGATATAGTTTTTACATTCAGAAAATTATTTGGATTCACAATTGTATAATTACTCGGTTCATTGCAGGTCAGTATGACTTCTACTTTCGGGGCTGCAACGACTAGCAATCCTAGACCATTCAAATGTACTGACTGTAAAATAGCGTTCAGAATACACGGCCACTTGGCGAAACATCTTCGAAGCAAGATGCATATTATGAAGTTAGAATGTTTAGGAAAATTACCATTTGGAACGTATGCAGAAATGGAAAGGTCTGGCGTCAATTTGAACGACATTGATACTACCGACTGTGATAATAGTCTTACTAGTCTTCAGGTATATAATGTATTCGAGCATTTCCTAAGATATTATAATTTATCTTAAAATATTTGAAATAGGAGATTTTCGTTCAAGGAGAGAACGTCATTTGTCATGTCCTCGCGTGTAGACACGCACAATAAATATGATTTCCTGTCTAGGCGAAGAAAATGTCGAGCTTGAGAATTTCTCAAAATTATGCACACTTACGAATACAAAAAGTTTGCTATGTATCGGTATCTTTTTAAAAGAAACAAAGTAGGGAAAAACACGATGATTTCACGTAGAGATAAATAAAGATTCAAAACATTTGTCTTGTGTAATATAAATCAGATCTATTGCATCGAAATTATTCAAATCATTGAAGTTTACACAAATAGTTATAAACCCCATACCCATCGAAACGAGCATTGTTCGTAATAATTTTGAACAAATGTAAATATTAAACCTATACCGCATAAAGTTTTAAAATATAAACTAAATAAAATAAGATAAAATGAAATAAAATAAAATAAAATAAAATAAAATAAAATAACATTCTAAGTGATTCGTCTCTTTTAATAGATGCTGGCTCAAAGACTTTGCGAGAAAGATCCTAGTAAAATTGGACAGTGGGATTCCGAAGCGATTCCGAGTCAAGCAATTAGCGGAGGTGAAACTTCCTCGGATGAAGGTGAACCTATACCCCAACATATAATGCATTCATGTCCTGTGAAAGTGACCACAGACGCAGACATGTCTCGATCATATCATGTGCCAATCACCAACGAAGATCCAAAGTCTGATGTTCTCCTTAGAAATCCTCAATTTAATCAGCAAGGGCATGAAAGACAAAATGATCCTACGTTTTCCATAGACGACGTAAGACCAGAGGAAAGCATACAACCATACAAGTGCCAAATTTGCACGGTGTCTATGCGTACTATGAACGAATTTCAAGTACATTGTTTTGTTGAACATAATATTGAATCGGATTCTAGTACAAATATACACAGGGATAGAGGTGCGGATAAGTGTATGGAGAAAGAAAATACTCAGAAAAAAATCATGGAGGAATCTATAGTCAAGGAAGATCACAGTAGACAAAAAACTGAAGACACGTAGTGCCAAAATAATAAAAAGAACAAGGAGACCAGCGGTGAAATTGTTTGAATGAATTTGTTGCCGTACCAATAAAATAGTCTTAAATTATAAGAGAATTATCATCACATTTCGAAGGAAATTTTACGAAGAATATTGTCGATGGTTATGTAGAACATTTGTTATTATAATTGAGAATCTTTTGAGAACTGAAAACATAGAATAGAATTACAACAAACTCTATTGAAGAAATATGTATATCATTGTAATATATGCTAAATGTTATTAGTTTGTAACATATGAAATGTCCGATTTTTAGGATTAACTTTAAATGAAAACAACTTTTTTAGTAATAAATATTTTTCATTAAAATAGCAACCATTAGATTCTACACATTTTTTCCAACAAATTTCTAGTTTTTGAACTCCATTTTTATAGAAATCCGACATTTTGGAGTTAATAAATTCTTCAACGGCATCTTCAACATTTCATTGATTCTTACAGGTTTCTTTTATCAGAAAATTGATTTAGGTATTTAAAAAAGTGGAAATCCAAGTCAACAACAGATCCGGCAAGTAAGAAGAACGAGGTAGAGTTTAACAATTTAAAAGTTTCAGCTTTTGCATCGTTCTTTGTGACATATGCGGTTTCGATTATCCTTTTAGAACGTAAGGCTAACTTCGATATGTTCGTGGGTTTTCATCCATATTCAAGTATTGAACAGAACGTCGTTTATTATCGTACAGAATCCAGTTTGCAACTATCGTGAGACTCTAACCATTGTTTGAGGATTTTCTTAAACTATACTTTTCCACGTGGTTTATTTTTAAAGTTTCCATCTGTGGCTTGAAGATTTCGTACCATCGGCGAATTCTACGTCCATTGACTGTATCATTACTAAATGCAGTAGAGATATTTTAAGCACCTATAGATCACCTATAGAAAATAGTCAACAAAATTTACAACTCCTCTTTTCTTTTTGAGATAGGAAGACCGTTCAACAAAATCCTACACGCGTGATCCGTGATTGTGTTCAAGAAGACAATTTGATTACCGTAGAAACCAAATATGTGTGGCGATTTATGGCTGTAAAATTACTTCTAAGGGACCATTCGTCGAAATCTGGACAGTGCATCCATAAGGTCTGCATCAGAGTTGCCATGCGGAGGAATGAATACTACTTTTGCAGGTTGTCTTGCTGCGTTTCGTTGAGTGCCTGAAGAACCCACAGCCAAACCACTGGGTGTTTTACCTGTATAATCCAATCGCAGAACAGTATCTGGCTCATAGAATGTTAAAATTTATTATTGCGTAGGAAAATGAAATCGATGCGACTGTGTTTCTGGCCGAGGTTAATTGGCGAACCTGAATGTTCATTAGTTGATGCTTAAATGCGAAACGACAGGACGAAATGTTCCGAAATGTTCACTTGATAGATACAATACTTTTCTGAGGGTGGAGTTTTTACAGTTTTATTACTGGAGCAGATTTCGATTTAAGTCGCGTCGATGGAATGAACTTTGGCCTAGATGTAAAAAATTAAAAGTTAAACAATTTATTGCCGGAAATATTTACAAGATGATGTATTTGTCAAATATGGAAACTACTGTAAGAATTGTTTTATTTGACGACCAAAATTCTACAACGGTTGAAAACGTACAACATCTGCAATTTTAATAAAGAAATTCTCGATGGGCCTACTTATAGCTCATCTTGTCCTGGGTTCAAGTCAGAGAGTTTTAATTAAAAGAGCATCCAATAATCAACGTTGATTTATGTTGAAAAGAGAACCATAAAAATGTAAAGCTAAATTCACAAATAAAAGAACTAAAAGCCGGATCTGACAATGAAAAATCTGCCATTGAGCCTACGTGTAAAGTATTTGCAACAATTTTAATATCTTTTTTATAAAACAGAATTTAAAACACTGCTAAACGAAAATTGGATATTTCATATGTTATAATCTAATATTATCAACAAACGTTATTTTCAACAGTAAAAAAACTGAATTACTACTTAGAATATGAAACATTATAAGAAAT